CCGGGTGGGCGGTGGCGGCGGCGGCGAGGCCCGGGGGTGTTTGGGGGCGGTGGCGCGGACCCACCTGCTCGCCTGGCCGCGCCATGACTCTGCTGCCTGGGCGCTGCCTGCCGACCCCAGCCCCGGGCAGGCCGCCGAGGGGGGGAGGGGTGGTGGGGTACCACTGAGAGCCACAGCCTCTGCACCCCCTTTGACCTCCGTCCCCTCTGCACCCCCTTTGCCCTCCGTCCCCTGCCCTCTCCTCCTCCTGCACCCCCTTTGCGCTCCTCCTGCCCCTTTCCCCTGCAGCCCCCTTTCCTTCACCCCCCCCGCCCTCCCACTCCCCCCCAAGTCCCCAAGCTGCAACCCTCTCCGCCGCCTTTCCCTCCTCTTCCTCGCACCCCCAGTTTGCAGCCCCCAGCACCCACCTTCCCTCATCCCCTTGCATCCCCCACGCCACCCCTGTGATGCTCCCAAGTGGGAGCACCGGACCCCCTACCCTTTGCCAAAGCAGGTGCCCACCGGGCTCCGGCCGCCTCTCGTCAGAGCGGCACCCCCCCCCCCCAAGAGACCAGCTCCCCGGCAGTGCCAGGCGTCGGCAGGCCAGGGGCGAGGTGCAGAGGGGGCGCGCAGGTGGCAGAGGCACAGGTACGTGCATCTGCGAGCAAGTGAGCGCGGTCCCCCTGTTCCTGCGTGCGTGCGGCTCTGCGGAGCTGGCGGCACCTCCCTTCCTCCCAGGGACGCTCGCCGCCGGGGCTCTGCGGCGTGCGGAGGCTGCTTGCGCCCTGCCTGCCGTGCAAGGGCGTCACAGGGTCCGGGGCTGCAACCCCTTCCCCTCGAGTGGGAGCAGGTGCATCTGGTGGCTCGCTCGGCCCATATGGGTCCTGGCTGGGGATGCGTTTTAATTGCCTCGAGCAGTGGAGCGTGCCTGGAGACAAAAGAGCCGATGAGAAATGGGAGAGGACTGGCAAACTCTGGAGCAGCTGGAGAAATCCTTAGGACAGCTGGAAGCAGGAGGATGGTGCAGCAGGAATGGCTTGACCCAAGTCAAGCCATTGACTGTTTCGGTGACCTAAGTCATGTCTCTTTAGCCTGCGCTGTGTGGAGTTGCTCCTGGGTAGGTCTTGGAGATGCAGAAGGGGTACAAACTCCTGGTGAGGTTCTGTCATGACATACCCCAGTCTGGTTGGCACGGGTAGGTTGTGCAGGTTGGAGCAGGAACTGGTTTCGAATGGATAAAAGCACATGAGGCTTTGTGCGGGTTCAGCTAAAGAGTTGCTGGAGGGTTGTATGGCGGATGTTGGTTTCTCCTGGTCAGAATTGCTAATGTGTTTATCCTTGCAGAGCTCCAAAGTATTTTGATTTTGCAGCTGGTGATTTGCGTGATTTTCCCCAAGTGTTTGTAACACAGCCGTGACTTTGAATCCATGTGTGTCCCTTCCTCTGTGTATCTGGTCCTTCCCTTCTCCTCGTCAAACGTTTTCCTGATGTGATTAATAACATGCCAACTGCTTCATTTCAGCACCGGGGAGGCCGATGCTGATTGATTTCCCTGATCAGTCTCCTCGGTGGGTCTGGAGGCTGATGGGTGTTATCACTGCATAAAAGTCTGCTTTGGGGTGGGAGCTGTCAGCATGTCTTTTTTTTGTCTTGGTGAGCCTCTTATTTCTTTAATTAAAAAGGGATGAAGTATGTATGGTAATACCCTCCATGTTTACATAAAAATGATCCTGTAATTAGCAATAATTATTTCAGTTTGGGATATCGCTGTTACATTTAAACAGGACTTATGACCTGAGGGACATTTTTATGGCCCCAAGGAGTTACCCTTGGTGTGGTTCTCTCCTGTGGTGAGTTTGGTTCTTGGCTGCTGTCAGTGGTGAAGGTAGAGCAGCGGTGGGAGTAACCTCAGGTTTCTCTGATGTGGGCCTAGAAAGCGATGGCCACAGTTTCCTCATTGAGTCCAGCACTGCTTCACGGGGCTCCCCAGCAGACCTGCTGCCATGTGCACGGAGATGGTCTGCTGTAGTGGCTTTCACCCTGTCGTCTGAGGACTCTCGGGGGACTCCCTTGTTATTGTGTTGGGCCAGAGGGAAAAAAAAGGCTGAAAAATTGACCCTTTTTTTTTTTTTCCCTAGCTCTCCTAGGGAGGTTTGGAAAAGGCTGCTGGTACTTGGGAAGCTTTTCCGTGCGAGAGTAGAGGTCCTGAGGCATCCTTGTCCACATGGCCATCTTTCACCTGACTTCCCTTCCCTTTGAGAAGAGCAAAGCTCAGCTCCCAAATGTGAACGTTTGCTTCCAGGCTGGAGATGACACCCACTGCCGCCCTTCTGCTGCTGGTGCACCCCAAATTTACCTTCTTGCTAAGGTGCCCTTGGAGCTCCCCAGGTTTTCTTGGGGTAAAAAAGTTGAATATAGGGGAAATATTCAACAAAATAAAACCCAAGACAAAAAATATCGCCTGTGGAGAGGGATTCCTTGTGGGAGGGTGATGAAGGGAAGAGGTAGAAATGTCTCTCGTCTCCTGTCTTTCAGGTTGTGTTATGCTGTTATACTTTTTGTTGGTCTAGGAAAAGCAAAATGATTGTGCTCTGAGCACTCTTTATCAGCTTTCTATTTTAACATTTTTGAAGTGTAAACTTACAACCAGAGCTTATTAAGCGGCAGATAAAAATGTTGAACGTATTTGAATTTTACCTGTATTAATTTAATAATATATTTATGGAATTATATTTGATCAGCTCTATAGCTGGTTGAAGACCACAGAAGAGTATTAATCAAATAAATTATTTGACAAATACGCATGAGATTAAACAAATGATCTATTTGCCAACTGCTGTTCAACTGCTCAGCCATGGCATGTTCCTCTTTCTCTTATCTTTCCCTTCCAGTTTTCATTCCACTTTTTCATGGTTTGTCTTTTCCTGAACCGTCCTCAGTATCTGTTTCATTTCACTTTTCCTTTCCCTGTATTATTCTTTATCTCTGTTGTGTCATGGTTTTCCTTCCATTCTTTCTTCTGCCTCTTTCTTCAACCTCTCTTTCCATGCTTCTTGAGTCTAAATTAGCCAATTTCCCTCTCTTTCTCCACCTTCCTGCTGGAGATTTTTATTGAACACTTCGTAGCCAGCTCAACTAAACCTGGTATGCGTTTAAACCCATAAAAACATAAAACTAAACCCAAACTGGGTGTGAATATGAAGATGTTTGCTTGGTGGTAATGCTTCTCTGCCTCTCCCTGGGTTTTCTGGCTGTTTCAGGGAGTGTGTTCCTGCAATTCTAGAGGTTTTTCCCAGCTCTTGTTTTTGCTTGTGCTCTTCTTATGCCTTTTTTAAAAGTGAATTTGACTTTGTATCCTGAGAAAACAGCTAGGATCAAATGGCAGACCTTGTGTTGTTCATTGGTTGTGTATCTGTACGCAACCTGCTTCCATCTGCTGCCTGACCAAGCCCAGCCTCCCCACCGGGCAGTCCTGCTTTCCTCCTGGCATCATCCTTCCTCCCCTCTGGGGTTACATCCAGGAGGTGTCTTTCAGTAGGGCAGAAGGAATGAGTGCTCTGAAGGTTTTCTGGCTTACCTGTTACTTTCAGAGTCGATATGAGTGTCAGCTTGATGAGGGTAAGTAGCAAGATGCAAACAGGTTATTGTGCATGACAGAGCAGTCACAGTATTCAACTTAGATCTAGCATTCAAAGATTGAAGTCTCTTAAAAATGAAAGTCTTCTTGTGGAGAAGACTTGTTTTTTTCCTCTGGATGAAATCTATGGGGGGGGGGATATTCTCAAAAACAATTAAAGGAATAGAAAATTTTGTATTTTAGGGGAGGAAATTTGCTATGCCTTGGCAGTAAAGCTCAGGCAGTCCAGAGGAGTGTGATGGGAGTGCTCAGAGTGCGTGATTCGCCTCCTCTGATGGTTGCAGTGGTGTTGCTGCAGTGAATGAGCTAAGCCGTGTATGTCATAGCTGTCTGCTTTAAGTACTGGGAGTTACGTGATAATGCGCTCTCGTACCCATAAGGAAAGGTCTCTGCTGTACTGAAGTTAACAGTTACACTGCTCCTCTATGTCTTGTGAAATGTTTTGGATAACACTCGGGTGCACTGACACAGCGAGCAGTCTAGGCAGTATGTCGTTGTGAAGCAAAATTGATTGGGGAGGATGGGGCCAAGAGGAATATTCTTTTGCAGTTAATTATTTACTGCAGGGAGAGAGGGAAGCTGATGATGTTTGGTTTATAATTATAGATATCCAGAGGAAAATGCTTCAAGATGATCCGTTTTATTCTGTGGATTGCCACCTATTTCTTGGTCTCTATAAAGTGAGACCAGCACTGTTTAATGACCGGTTCAGTAAAAGCAAAACTTCATTATCAACTTCTTACTGCTGGAATATGGTTTTACAGCTTGCTGTGTGTGACGCAAAATGGCCTGAATGCCTACAGAGGGAATAGTCTTTCTGTGCTTGCTGTCTTAATGCATGACCTGCCCATGGTGCCCATCTGATGGCAGCGTGGGCTCTTGGAACAGCTCATCTCTGTGCTGAAAGGTGACTTTGTGGTTGAAGTGCAGTACCATGGACCCAGGAGTCCTGACCCCCTCTCTGGTCTTGGCTGAGCTGGTTGCCTTCTCTCACTGGGCTCTCTTCTTCTTCAGGCGTGATACCAACCCAGCAGATATCCAGCCTATCTACTAAAAGGGTAGGATTGTCCTGAGTGAGGGGCACACTGATAACACAGAGGCAGCAGCAGCCCAGATTCTTGCATAATACAGTGCTGAGGGCCAAGCTATAAGTGGATTTTTTCCTTTTGCATAGCTAAAC